GGGATTGATAGCAGAAAATAAGACATATAGAGTCGATATTTGGTGCTGTTTTCCTTCAACCCATGAATTCACCCTGTCATTGCTTGCCTGTCTTCTGAGTTCTAGACTTTCAGTTCCTCTACTTTTTCTTCTTGTAATCTTAATCCTTTCTCACTGTTAATCTTGTCTCTTCTTCAGACTGATCCATATGTTTTTCCATTTATCTGCCTTCCTATTGTAATATTTCCTGTGCTGATGCTTAATAACATCTATGATCCAGGGTTTGTCTGTTAGCACTGCAATTAAATGCAGTCATGATCTACCCTCTTTAAATCCTGTATCTTCAAGCGAGTCCTGAAAAGTTTAAGATGGAAACTTGTGATGGATGTTTTATAACGTTGTATTTTACCTGAGAAAATCAGATATTTCCATTAAATCAAAACCAGTGAAGACTGTTTCTTCATTATGCTATTCTGGTTATTCTCTCAAACATAATGATATAACACTATCTCTACATTTTCTATCAGTGGATGAAGACCTGAATTCCTCCAAAGGTTTAGTGTTATTGGAAGTCATGCTTTGGTTGAGGTACATGTTCGTTCTGTATCCATATATCAGATCAAAGTCTGAATGGAGGAGTTGTAGGCTTTATTTGGATGCTTTTGAAATGTAGATCTTGTATCAAAATGCTTATACCCTATACATAAACAAGATGCTTTAAATATTTTTGATGTCAAAGAGAGAAGAACTGGTCAATACGTTAATATATGAAAGAGATGGATCTCTATGTGATGATCAAAGTACAGTAACTCACTTGTATTTGTGGAAGTAGTTATGGAAAGATAAGGAAATGTTAAAAGTCCTACAGCTTCAAGGGCATAGCCTCTTTCTAGAACTTTGCTAGAATTTGTTACATTTTTGTTGCTCTGAAATTGAAGGAAAATGTAGTTGAGCACTTGTAAAAACTATTGAAACATGAACTTCAGTTCCACAAGTTCACACTACAATTCCTATGTTTTTGAAATCTCTTCTTTTTTTTAAATACAAAAGTTATTTACTCTTACAGGATGTGCAAGTGAGAGCAAACCTTTCTGTTCTGTTCATTAAAACTGAGGAAGTCCTATTTGTTTCCTTATCTTAGAAACTATGATGAACAAGATGTTTAACAGCTCAACAAGTAAACAGATTGACCTGTTGTCACAGCTTCTAGTAAATATATCTTCCTGTGTGTTACTGGACCGTTTCCAGGCTTTTGACTCTGTTGAGAAATTGGAGGAGAAGGCTCATGAGCTCATGCAGCAAAATAATTTTTTGGCTAGTAAGTACTTTAGTTAAAATGTATATTGACAGAAAACATCAGACTTTGTAACTGCTGTCTGTGTTTATTGATAACGTAGGTTAAGCTTTACACAGTTTCAGAGTATGTATTAAACCACATACAATACAGGAAAAATAAAGCACATTTACCTTAGAGGTATTCCGCAACATTTGAATGCTGTAATACAGGTTGTAAAGACTAATTATGTTGTTTTAATGGTCGAACTGCTAAGTGAATCCTTGTGGTCTGTCATTTCCAACGAAATATAGAAAAAAATAGCCAAAAATGTTTAAAGTAGAATAGACAGAGCTGAAAAATGCAGGATACTGAGTACACTTGACTACTTATTATGACAAGATAATTTAGTTTACATACTTTTGAGTTTTAACATTTGTATCTTTTGCTTTACAAAAAGGAGAAAAGGATTTTTTTGGTAAAGTTTACTCTTAAACCCACATCTCAGAGAAATTAATTCGTTTATTTAGAGTAAATAAGTTCTTAAGCAATAGATGTATTTCTTTTCTTCCTTTGCATTGCACTCTCTATCCTTTCTCTGCATTGTATCCTTATTATTGAGAATTAATTAATTGTTCAAAAGAGTTCAAAAGGCAAGACTTTTTCTTATTATACATATTTTCTCCTTTGCATAAAATACTTTGTGTGTAGCCTTTCCAAAACAGCCCAATTTAAGCCTATGTAAAGTGTGCCACATCTTTTTCCCCGGTTGTTTTTGTTCTTATTGTCTGCTTAGACTCCTGTAAGTACACAACAGAAGGCATGTCAAAGCAGTTCTAGAGAATGAAACTACTCAGTCTGGAATCCTGTGTTTGTTCTGTAACCTGCATGGTTACCTCCATTTGCACAATCTGGAAATGACAGCCCTCCATCCATGTAAAACCTGCAAACCATAACATTAGATAAGGGAAATTTCTCAGGACTACTTAGTAGGGAGTGAAGTTGCCCTTTCAAGGGAAGAAACAAATAGATACCTGTTGGCCCTCAGAAAATCAAATTGTCAAATTCTAGATCTATTTTGTTTCTGCTTATATAGGGAAGGGTCATATGCTAACATAAGCCAAGACATTTTTTGGTAGTTTTTTCAGTACTGTGGCCTTATAGCCTCTTCATATGCTTGAAGAGGGAAGATGGCATTTAAAGGGATCAAATGTGTCCAACATATCAGTATTACGTGCTCAGATATAGGCATACATTCTTTTCCATAGTAAGATAAGAAACTAAAGTGAAATTTTCCTTGCTTGCCTTGTTTGTAGTCTTCAAAGTCTTGATAGCCTCATGAAATGTCTTAGGAAATTAAATGTTTGCATAAGTGAGAAAATAAGATTTTTCCAGTAAAAAAAGATAAAATCTTTATATACATAGCAAAGTATTCTATATCATATTATCTTTCAGAGAGCCAGGTGCTCATTAAAACATATCTCCCCTTTCAAAGGGAAAAAGGTCAACATTTCAGATTCATCAAGGAGTTCTAAAAAGTCTGGGTCATCAGAAAAAATATGTAAACAATTTGCTGTATTCAACATCATTTTCCCAATTACAGATTAAGCTTTCATCTGCTTTTTCTTTTTTTTTTCTTTTTTTTGTCTTTTATTTTATACAGAGCTAGAGAAAATAAACACACAAATTCTGCTATGTTAAAAAAAAAGTGTTGTAATTGGCTCAGAAATTAAAAATAAGAACAAATTTTAGTGGTTTGGTACTGTTTACTTTGTCACTTCCAGGAACTGTTATCCTTTCATCAATAAATTTTATGGCTTCTGCTTTCACTATGGAATTGAGATCAGTCCCCAAAAAGGGGTTAAATCTGGATACAAAGAGAATAAACTACAATAAAAAACCCCAAACAAATCACAGAAAGAATTTTCTCAGTTAAGAATGATTGTTGCAAACCCATTTATCATGTGAATATTATTTTTTTTTACATTTCATAATCATGAATTTATAAAATGTAAATCTCTAAGAAACCTACCATTCTTGTGTGGCAAGGTCATGAAACTTGAGACACCTGACCTGACAGGTGAATGTAGCCTACTATCATGTGAGAATTGGTCATGAGTTAGTTATGTAAACAGCATAAATCATATAAGCTTGGATATAAAGTTCCTTTTCTTCTTGTGTCAGGTATCATCTTTGATATGCCAAAGAATAAGACGCAAGATTCTAGCACTCTCCTACCACGACACATTTCTTATAGAATTAGAACCAGCGTTCTTTATAGCATGAGAACGGATTTGATTCAAAACCCAGCGTGGAAATCCCATCCCCAGAAGTTGCCAGCTGATGGGTTTAAATACAACCACATCTTTATTCCTCTTCAAGATATGGTTGAAAGGGCAATTATATCAGCACAGACTGGAACAGATACCTCAGAGCCAGCCATTCAGGTGCAAGCCATGCCTTACCCTTGTCATACCAGTGATCTGTAAGTAAATCCTCAGCTTTTTTTATTCAATATATTATCCTTATTGAATTAGTGCTAGAGGACTTGGGAAACCACCAGGTCTTTGTAGTGGGTGAATGTGTATCTCAGAACAGGATTGAACCAATACCAGAATATCACAGCATAGCAAATGTTGTTTGACAGTTGTGACCACGACACATTATGCAACATCTGTCTGGCAAATGACCCCTTAAAAGCTGTTTGCAGCTATACTGTGGAGTAGTCTGCTGAGCAGAGACTGCGTCAACATATTGTGCAACTAACTTAGACTATGCTAGAAACCCACTTTCCATCCTCAGTTTCCCTGTATGCAAACTGTGAATTAGTCCCTGGTATGTGTTGAAATAGCATATAAAATTGATGAAAGAAAAAGTGTACGATTGTTCTTTGTAAAACCATCACAACATTCTGAGCATTAGAATTTAAAATTAATTGGTAGTAATATATCTGTTAAAGTGAAGCAAAAGTTGACTGGCTCATGTTATTCTTTACTGTCCAAAAATAAACACAAATCTGATTCTGTTTGACTTTGGAGCCCTAAAGAGTGATTACATTTAGTTGTATTGTTGACAAATACTGATATAATATTATAGTAACAATACATATGTTTAGTTTGTTACATGAAAAACATAACCAGAACAAGAACAAGTCTTATTGCTCACGTCAGATACTCTTTTGTACATACTTTGAGAATAGTCCCAGTTTTAACATGTTAACATTCTGCTAAAAAGTATTTTACCTTTTGGGGCTAAAAACTCTGTATGTATATTTTCATAGATTCTTGAACAACATAGGGTTTTTTTTCCCACTTATGATGATGTTAACATGGATGATTTCAGTTGCTGGCATGGTTCGCAGGCTGGTTTATGAAAGAGAAATTAATCTTGAAGAGGTAAGAGGCAGATTAGTGTCTGAAAATAAAATTTATTTATTAAAGCCTACTGAAATACAAAACTTAAACTTTGAGATACTTTTATGTACTCGTAATCCAGCTGGCTTTGTTTGTGTTTGTTTCCTCTGGGCTGTAGGTTCTAGTTCTAGCTGCCAATACGGATTCACAACATTGTTTGAGCATCAGTCCTCTTAGTATGCAAATATTGTCTCTGAGACAAAAAGACCAAAAGATCCATAAAGTTGAAGCTGGAAACCGTTTGGGAAAAGCCCTTGTGATTAGAATGGGTTTTATATTGGATTGATATGCTATATGTGGTCTAAAATGGTAAAACTTCCTAAATCAGATTAAAAATTTTGCCATGTTCTGTGTAATTATCAAAAATATAAAGGAGGATGACACAGAAAAAAATACATAATTATTTGCTTATATTGCCAGCTAGTCTTAGGAGATGCTGAGCATATGGAAGGATGGGGTTTTATGATGCATTTTTTGTATGGATAAATATACTCTTTTTTGAGGAACTATACTGGCTACACTGCTGGAGTAAGCTTTGTTTAGTTTGGGAAATTATCTAATTTCTCTAAACATTGTGTTGTAAGACAAGCCTTTTTAATATGGAATAAATTTTATTAATTATGATCATCTTCTGAAAAAAAGCTTCAGAAATAATATTAGCTTGTTTCCAAAAGCTCTTTTTAAAAAAAAAAAAAAAAAAAAAAAAAAAAAGAGGGGTGATACATCATTCATGTCTGGCTAAATTATTGTCTAAGTGCTGATACATAAAGCTTTACAGACATATCCATATGTTACTTTTAGTTTGGCAACAGGCTGGAGAAAAACACATTTGTTTTTACAGTGCTGTAGATATCCTCAGCACTTTTTAGAGTACAAAAAGGTAAACCCTCATTGGAGGACTCAGTAATCTGACATATGGTCCTGCAACCCTGCGCAAAAGAGAGTTGTGCCTGAGCAATGGGATTCCTCATGTTAGTATGTGAAAAGCTCAGAAACAACCCTGCTGAGAACCGTGTTTGATCCAGGAAAGAGCAGCAGAGGGGATAGCACAGCAAAAGGGAAAAGAGATGAGTAATTTAAGGAGAAGATGACATCCTTTGGTGTTGTTTTGGTGGCAACATGTTTTGCTTAAATTAAAAAATAAAACAAATGGAAAGAGAGAAAATTTGTTTCCTAACTTTAACTCTCTTTGCTATGTTGTTTTGCAGTATATGAAGACGATGGGTGTACATCCAGCCATTCATTTCTTTGCTTGGTTTCTGGAGAATGTAGTTGTTCTCACAATAAGCAGCTGTGCTCTGGTCATCATTTTAAAAGCAAGTGGTATCTTTGCTTATAGCAATGGCTTCCTCATCTTCCTTTTTCTCCTGGACTTTGGAATTACAGTTATTATGTTAAGCTATTTTTGGGGAGTATTTTTTAGCAGTGCCGATACAGCAGCTCTGTGTGCCAGCCTTGTGTACATGATCAGTTTTTTGCCGTACACAGTTTTATTGGTCTTGCAGAACCAGTTGAGTTTCACCAGCCAGATTATATTGGTAAATATTTCTTTTCCTTTTCCAATTTTTCTTCTCCAACCATCCTGTAGATTCCCATAGTTTTGAAACTGTAGATTATAGTTTACTTATTTTTCCCAGGTTTATGTTTGCTTTTGTTTCACTGGAAATAAGTCACATGAATAGATATCCTGTGGAGAATATGTTTTGAATGTAGAAAGGAATGAAAAATAAATATTCATGGAATTTTAATAAATCTGAAAAAAAAATAAGGAAGATGCATTTCTCATGCTCATGAGTTCTCTTTATGTTTTGGCTTAAAAATATTTGTAATGGTAATGTACCTTCAAGCACACCCGATGACATGCCTCTCCTGAAAGTCATTGTTTGTTTGGAGGAAAAATAGTAATTGATTCTCTGTTGAGTACAACTGGGGATTAGATCAGAAATTTGTCTAGTGCTTATCTAGCTATACGGTCAGCTGTATATGTTTCTTTGGCATTGGTTCTTCCATGTCATTTCATGTTTTATGAATGCCATAGACAATTTAATGTCTTTGTGCTATCTTAACATACTATATCTACAATTGGGATATCAAATATCACCATCATACAATGAAAACCATATTTCACACATTATGGCTTCACTCTTTCAAAACAATCAATTGTCAAATTAAGCTGGTGGAATAATTCATAGACTATTGAAAAAAGGACACTTTTTCAGTGTCAGTAGGTTGGATAAAATATATTGATTCTTTGCATAATACTGTAGAATTTGGGAATGAACAGGCAGGATAGATTTTTTTCTTTTCTGTTGCTGCTTTTTTTCCTCCTCATTTGGGCCTCAGAGAGGGAAAAGTATGCATCGGAAACATTGCACGCTTCAAAATCAGCAATTTCAAAATAACTCTTCAGATATCCTGCATTTACTGAAAACCAGAGGAAGCATCATGTGAAAAGGGCAATAATTTTGAAGAGAGGGGAGATGCCACTAAGTGAGGTGGTGAAACCTTAGCAATGTAAGACACAGAGACTCAATTGGTGGGAATTAACATGAATTTTTTTGTACAAAAATATAATCCAAGCCATTAATGATTTTTGATGATTTTTTTTTTTAGTAGCAGCCTATGTCACACGTCTTTCTTCAGGCAACTGTCAGAAAACTTACTTCATTGCATTACTTTAAAAAAGGAGATAAAATGAACTTCTATTTCAGCTCACTTTCAAACTGCAGAATTCTATCACCGAGCTATGCTTATCAATTTTAGTAATATTTTGGATCTTCCTATCAGCCTCCATGAGCTCACCAGTGTTTTTCCACTGACCATCAGCCACACTTCCTTGCTGTACTACATCACTAACTTGCTCATTTTCCATTTTGTACTTTTGCAATACAGCATGACTATGCTGCTTTTTGGAAGTCAAATGTTATTCTTTTGCATAAAAATGCTTTCTCAGCATACAGTACCCAGTGACTGTGTTCTTTCTGCCTCTGTCTCTTCTTGAGTTCTGGTCTTATGAAATGAGCAGGACCACTGCTCTTTTTACAGAAAGTACATTCCTTTGCACGCTTTTGCAGTGCTAGACATTATACGATTTTAATATGTGGTAGATTTATGATGATCTATAACCTGTTGTAGAGTTAAATAATGCTTTCAAATTTTAATAACTAGGTCAGTGGAGCTCTTCAAGGTGGAGGAAATACTACTGCAGTAAGTGGGGGAGTATTGTTAAAATATAAAAGGAAATAATGACCATTTTCTCACACGAATTAAACCTCTATTTGTATTGTGCTTGCTGTTAGCATCACAAGATATTTTATTTCATGGAGTTTGTTAATGATGTGTTTTATTTGATGTCTACGTCTTCTTTCTCTGTTGTTGTAGTGTCTTCTTTCTACAACTGCCTTTGGGCATGGAGTATTTTTCATTACATTCTTTGAGGGCCAAGAAACAGGTAAGCTCTCTGGTTAGAAGGAAAGCTTTGTAATTATTATTTCAAAACCTACAGCTGGAAATGTTTTTCACTTTATTCTGGAAAAAATCTCTAACCATGAGTTAACAGGATAGATCATAAAGGGAGAAAAATTTTTAATGCCCCTTAAAAACCAAGTTAAGCTTGTGCTGCTTTCCAGCAGTAAATTAAAGTGGTCTTAGCATTGCTCTATTTGAAATACGGATTGGAGTAAAAAATCCACATCCCGTTAAATGGCCAAATGAGTATATTCAGCCAATGAAGTTCTTCTAGAGATGCAACCCCAAACTTTATATTTAGTGAAATCCAGTAGAGCTACTTAAGGGTGAGCATCTGACTGAATATTATTTCAGTCACTGAATGTATTACTTCTGTCAGTCCGGTGAAGGAAGTTTTGGCAAGGCATTTAGAGCAGTTTCTTGCAAGTCCTCATTGATGTCAGTGGCAGCTTTAATGCTTGCTTTCTGGTGAGAATATCAACAGGGAGTTTTTTAGGATCACTAAATGGTTGAGGTTGGAAGGGAACTCTGAAGATCTCTCAAGCAGAGTCACTTAAAGCCAATTGCCTGGGCCTGTATCCCAGGATTTGGAATATCTCCAAGGTTGGAGACTCAATAGGCTCTCTGGGCAGCCTGTGCCAGTGCTCAGTCACCCTCACAATTAAAATGTGTTTCCTGATGTTCAGAGGGATCCTCCTGTGTTTCAGTTTGTGCCAGTCACCTCTGGTCCTGTCACTGGGCACCACTGAAAAGAACCTTCCTGTCTTCTTTGCACCCTCATTTCAGGTGTTTATATACATTCTTAAGATCCCCTTGAGCCTTCTCTAGGCTGAACAGTCCCAGCTCTCTCAGCTTTTCCTCACAGGAGAGATGCTCCAGTCCCTTAATCATCTCTGTGGCCCTTTGCTGGACTCTGCAGTACCTCCATGTCTCTCTTGTACTGGGGATCCCAGAAATGGGCACACTGTTCGAGGTGTGGCCTCACCAGTATTGAATAAAGGAGAAAGATCACCTTTCACCTGATGTCAAAGCTTTGTCTAAGGCAGCCCAGGATATCATCAGCTTTCTTTGTGGCAAGGGCACATTGCTGGCTCATGTTCAACTTCGTGTCCACCAGGACCCCCAGGTCCTTTTCTGCAAAGCTGCTTTCCAGCTGGGTGGCCCCCAGCATATACTGGCACATGGAATAGTTCCTCAGCAGGTGCATGACTTTGCACTTCTTGTTCATCTTCATGAGGTTCCTGTCGGCCTATCTCACCAGACTGTTCAGGCCTTTCTAGGTGGTAGCATGACCCTCTGGCATATCAGACACTCCTCTGAATTTTATGTCATTAGCAAACTTGCTGAAGACACATTCTGCCCCATTATCCATAACATTAATGATGATGTTAAGGAGGACCAGACTCAGTGTTGGCCCCTGGGGTACCCTGGTAGTTACTGGAATTTGATTAGCTTTCATGCCACTGATCACCACCTTCTGGGCCTGGCCATTCAGCCAGTTTGCAATCCAACTCACTATTTACTCCTCCAGCCCATACTTCATTAGCTGCTTTAGAAGGATCCTATGAGAGATGGTGTAAGAAACCTCACTGAAGTCTAGGCAGACAAGACCCTGTAGTCTCCCCTCATCTACCAGGCCAGTCCTTTATCATAGAAGTTTAATCAAGTTGTCAAGCATAACTTCCTCTTGGTGAAGCTATGCTGTCTATTCCTGATGATATTCTTGTCCTTCATGTGCCTGGAAATGGTTTCCAAGATTAATTGCTCCATCACCTTCCCAGGGATCGAAATGAGGCTGACTGGCCTGTAGTCCTCTTTCTCGAAGTGATATTTGCTTTCTTTCAGTCTTCAGGCATGTCTCCCAGTTGCCATGATCAAACAAAGACTGAGAGTGGCCTTGCAATGACATCTGCCAGATCCCTTAGTGCTTTTGAGTGCATCCCATCAGGGTCCATGGATTTATGTACACGCAGTTTGCTTAAGTATTCCCTAATCTGATCCTCTTTCACCAAAGGTACGTCATCCTTAGTCTCTGGGACCTGGCACTTCTGCAAGCTTGGAGGCAGTGGAAAAATCCCCACTGAGCTACTGTGCAGGTGCAGAAATGCATGAGAACACCCTATTATGTTTAAGCGTTAGGAAGACAAAAATGTTTGGAAACTGGCTAAAAGTTCTTACAGGCTGTTAAATGTTTTAGTATGGTGATCACTACTATGTCCAAGCTAAGAGCTGTCCCTATTGATGCTGAAGCTTTAGAAAAGTAAGAAGTGAATGTCTAGGCCTTTGATAAATACTTACAAAGGATATAATTTATATATCTCAATATATAGAGATGCAAACATTTTTTTTTTTTTTTTTTTTTTTTTCCATTAACTACTATGAGAAGATCAAAATTGAGACAGTGGATGTTCCAAACCATTAGGCATTGAAAAAGTATCATAATGGTACAACGGTTGGTAAGAGTGGAAGAGACAGTTGCTGAAAATATTATTTAAATTTCCTACCAGACTCTTCATCAAAATGAGTTATCTTTACTGAAGAAAGGGAAACATGCTTTTTGGAAAAACTGTCTTTCTTGACAACTGTAGAAAAAGAATTGTAGAAATGATATCCTGACCTGCTCTACTACAAACAAAGCAGGATTTTTCAGGGAAAAAAAAATGCAATCCTTTTTGTGAATATACAATTGGTTACTTTTGTTTTCCATTTAACAATATGGTAGCTTTCTGTAGTACTAGTGTTTTGCACCTCCTTTCTTCCTCTCATGTCTTCTGCAATGTGATAATTTTATGAAGCAATTACTCAGGGAGTTTGTTCCAAGTTTACTTCTGAATACAGTCAGTGCACACAAATACTTCCTTCTTAGTTAGAATTCAGATTTATGTTTTCGTATTTAGCATTGTAGAAATTACTTTAAACTTTGTGTAACCCATTTCTTGATAATATCAGCACAATGGTGTAAAGCCCAATTCATTGAAGAGGTCTGTGCCCCATTTTATCAGTTCTAGTTCTTCTTTTGCCAAATTAAGGGCCAGATAAAACTTCATAAACAGCCCTTTCTACAACAACTTTTCTGTGTTTTCCCAGCACCAGTGTCACCTGCTGTTCTAAAGAGCAGCTTGTAAAGGCACAGCAATTAATTTCTATTCATTAAGATTGCTGTGATTAACTATGGTCTTTTTTGTGTCGCTGCTTAAATACCCAGAAGTGTGTGATGTTGATGTGTTTGTGATCTTTAATGCTGTACTGATTTAGCTATGACCTTTCAAAAATCATTATTATTATTACTATTACTACCAGGAATTCAGTGGAATAATATGCACCAGTCAGTGGCACAAGGAGGATACATGACCTTTGGATGGCTGTGCTGGATGATGCTCTTTGACTCCATTTTATATTCTGTAGGTGGCTGGTATTTCAGCAATATTATTCCTGGTAAGATTATGGAGTTGTTCTTATTCCATGTTTTTGAATAATTTATTAAATGGAATTATAGAATGGGCTTCCCTCAAACCAAAAAACTATCTTTTCATGAACTGAGTTTCTGATGGTCAGAACTGACTGACTACATTTAGGGACTTAGTAAGAAAGTCTCCTACAGATAAATATTGAGCAGTGCTAACACATGGACTAGAATTTGTAGCCAGTCATTTTATACTTTTTATTAGTTTACAGGGCTTACTAATATTTGAAAGACTTAGGAATTTGTTGGTACTTCACAATAACGGAGCAAAACTTCCTGTGAAAAGGGTAAATCAGTATTTAGGCTGAAACCCACTAAGAACTTCAAACCGCCTGGTAACTCTATCTTGGTCTTAGTCAGTCCAGAGTCCAATGCATAAAGAAAACTAATTAACTTAGAATATTAAGAAGTATATTTTCAGAGAGTAGTAGGATTTTCTTTTTCATTAACCAAGTTTCATGAGTATTATTGAGTTGGTTGATGCATTTTTAATCATAGCCTAAAGCCTCACTAGCTGTTTGAAATTTACTTTTCCTTTGATTTGCATGTCACCTTTTCTTCCAGCCATTCTGTATTTGTTTTAAAATATAAAAATAATTTTGCCTAGAAAGAGAGGACTTTGTGGAACATACAACTGAATTTTACAAACTTTAGCTTAAATTGACACTTGCCTTTCAGTGTCAGTGAAATGCAACTCCAAACACGCAAGAGTGTATTGTGTGATTGGTGAGTGAAACCTGGAAAGATTGGGCAATGTAATGGTTGTATGTAGGAGCATGTTTTCTCCCTTTCTGTTTACGTGTTACGTTAAATGTGTCTTGTGCTGGCTGATTTGTTTAAATTGTGTAGGTAGTAATGAAAGAATAATCTTTAATGATTGCTGCAATGGATTATTATTATAATAAAAAAATAAGGCTGTTTGCCTTGGCAGGCCAGTTGGTGTGTTTTCATTCCTCTGGGTTACAAGATTATGCTAGGCTATGCCTACATATTGTTAAATCTATGATTCTCTTGCACTTTAAGGCTGATTTGGAGATAATGTAAAACACAGTATCACTGAGGATTGATTATTTTATGGCAGGATTTGGTGTTTTGGCCAAATGACTTTTTTTCACTTTAATAAGGTTTGTTAAGTGCAGCTAAGTTTGAGCTAATTAAATGGTCTAACTAGCTCTTTTAAGTAATGATAGGATATTAGTAGTCTACAAACAAATATGAAATCACTTTAAATTTTGCAATGGCTTCTATCATAATTATCATCTAGGAAAATCTGGATTAAAGAACCGATGGTATTTTCCCTTTACTGTTTCCTACTGGAAGAACCTATGTGGTGCAGAGAGGAGGAAGAGACATTTTCTGAATTCTAATATGTTTTTCTTCAATGAAAACTTCCAAGAAAAAGGTTTGTAGTCATAACAATTTTAATAACAGCTCTTTTCTAAATGGTGTGCTGATTTTGATCAACCTGCTTTTGTCATTACTTGGTGTATATATATTATATTCTGTGTTTAGATCTTGTCCTTTCTATCCTCCATTATAGTGTATACTATGAATATTATATACTAAATGTTAACTGAGCTGTCACCTGTAATGCGTGAATCATTCAATGAAAACTACTGTACACAAATATTTAATAAAACTTTTTAAAAAATGCAAAATAAGTATTTCTAAAGTTCATCCTGCTGCAGTGTATTGCCTCTTTGTTTTATTAGGATCTTCTGAAGTTCCTTGAACCCTTTCATACTCTTACTGAATCTCAAAAGTGTACTTTTTTAACTCCCCCCCCTCCAGTTTTATTCTTTTCCACTACTGTTTTCTAAATATAAAATTGATTGTTAAAGGAGCAAATCCATATTCATAAACAGAACAATCCTTGAAATAATTTTTACTTATAATTGGACTATATATTTTTATTGGTTTTATTTTATTTACTTATATATGATTTTATTACATATATTAAAATTATAACAAAAGTATTATATATAAATATATAACATGTATTTTGATACATTACACATATAAAAAAGTATTCTAATCTCAAAAGATTTCTCATTTGTAATAAGTTAAAATATTACACGTTAATAATATATTTATGGGGCTGGTGATTGACTGCGCTCATGTTTGGAAAGTAGTTCCAACCTTTCCTCCTGACACAGAAAGGAAGTCAGCTTGATCTGTACCATATGGTCATCTCGGGTTACTGAGCTGGTTACCTCACAGTTAGAGAAATGCTGGATATCTACTTGCATTGAATAACTTGAACGATGTTTAGCCTAGATTGCTGCTCTGAATCATTTTGCAAATAGATCTGGTTTGCTTTATGGACTGAGGGCAATTAAGAGGATTAACTGGCTATGTCTGTTAAGGTCATGTAATGTAACGCACCTGAAAATTGTTGGAATATATGGAGTAGTTCACATACTTAAGAGCATAAAACAGTGATTCGAGCAATGTTATTATAAGTGTTAATTCTACTAGAAATAAAAGATAACTATTTTATGATTCGATGGACACATGTGGACATGCACACAACTTCGCATAGTTGGTTTAGGTTGCTTTTTAAAACTGCAAATAGGCCAATTTCTTATCAAATATTAACTGGCATAGTATCTTTGATTCCCGTGGAGGTTATGTCCATTTAGACTATCTGAACATTTGTTCCAGATTTTGGTAAATGGCAACAGGGATTAAGTTAATTTGTTAGTTCAATATACACACACTCGTATCTTTAGATTTAGCAACCCTCTTGATCTGCTGCTCTTTCCCACACAGACCCAGGACCTCCAATTTGGAAAGGCCCTTGCATCGAAGGAGATACTGTTGGCGTCATGCTGCTGTCTCTCACCAAAGAGCACATGGATGGCCAGAAGGCTGCAATTAAAGATCTCAGCCTCACTTTTCACAGAGGTCAGATAACAGCACTCTTGGGACCTAATGGAGCTGGCAAGACAACAGTTATGTAAGTCTGCTGTTTAGTGCTATTACACTCCTCTCTGATCTCTGTTATGCTTTCTCACTTCAAAATACTGGCAAACTCTT